GTACAATCGCTACACATTTTTAAAGAAAAAATATGGGTAAAGAAATTGAGCAGGCTGAGGGAAATGAGTTTTAATAGGCTTTGGGGGGTTCTATTGTGAACCTTTGAAGAGTGTAAGAGTATGTAAAATCATACTAAGAACAGACAGCAAAGCCCTGATGTTTACGTTCTTTTTAGACAGGGACAAGAGTTTTTAGTCCCTTTCAGATCTGAACCTCCTCTGCCATCTGATGCAATGGATTGGGCTGTCATGAATGTACACGCACTTTTTAATGCTTCTGCTGTTATATGAGAACAGTACTTTCGTGCAAAAAATAGAGCCTCAGATTAGTGGAAAACATTCAAGGGCACCCTTTGAAGCTTTTGTTTTCTGGTTTAAAAGGAAAAAAAATCCTATGAAAATATCTACTGTTCAACCACCAACCCATGCTAACCCAACAGGCTTAATAACACGGATTCACTAGTGCGTCAGCATTCTGTTTTGTATAATACAAAGGTCAAATAATGGGGACAAATCTATTATTATGCTGGTGTATGGCATTGAAAAGCTTTTTTCATTATTTTTATCACAGTAATTTTAAACAGTGTAAAAAATTAAAACAAGTGACTCCTGTTTAAAAATAAAAGTTGTAGTTTTTTATTCATGCCGAATAACTGTAGTAACTTGTCTTTTCACCTACTCAGTGAAATGTTGGACTGTAAAATCTTGTGTGGAACTGTTAAGCGTTTATTTTTCATTTTAAATTTTGCTGTTCTGGTAAATTTCAAAGCCACACATCTGTACATAAGCTGCAGTAAATGTAAGCCATTTGCAGCAATGCTAAATAATGGAGAAAATGACATAATAAAAATCTGCTTTTTCATTATCTGTTCAAATACTTTTGGAGTAGGAAGTTTTTTTGATCTCATACATAGTGCTAAAGGCTTAAGATCATCTGCATCTCTTCTTTCCTAATGTTTAATGTGCAGGTGCCACTCATCTAATGGTTTTCAGGGACTGCTTGGGATTTGGTTCTTTGAAAGGCAGTCCCTTGACAAGTTATAGTTGTGTGTGTGTATGTGTGTAATTTACACACTGAACATAAGTGGGAGGCTGCAAAGCATTTTCAATGGACTCCTGTTTCCCATCTACAGCAACACATGGTAACGTGAGCTTTCTTTCTGAGAAAAGAGTCAGGTCTCCGCCTTTAAGGTTCAGAATGGACAAGATGGAGATTTCCGAATAAAGCGAGAGCTGCTTTAAACAGTAAAGGCTGGATAATAATCCTCTGAAGTTTTCTACTGCTTCACAAGTTGGAAATTCAGTTTTTGAAGTTTTTTGTTTGTCTGTTTTCTGATTGGTCGTTTGGAAACAACATGATCTGTTTGCATATTGCTCATGCAAACATGCTAGGACTCAGGGTTGCTACTTTCTGGAAAGTCAGGGAAACGGAAATTGGTCAGGGAAACGTCTGAAGTCGGAAATTCTGATTAAAATATTTAAATATATTCAAGCAGTGGATTTTTGACCTGCTGCCAGGGCATGATCTGTTCTTGTGGCAACTGGAATAGAGAAGTAGCAGAACACAAGTAAAACTTAATGATGTCCTTTCCCAGCTCCACCTTTCAT